CAACAAAAGAATACACATTCTTTTCAAATGTATTGGAAACATTTATCAAGATACACCATATTTTGGGCCATAACACAAGTCTCAATTAACTTTAAAAAATTCAAGTAATGCAAAGTATATTACCTGGCCAAAATAGAATTAAATCAGAAATCAAGAACAGAAAGTGGACTGGGAAATCTGGAGATATTTGGAAGCTAAATAACTCACTTCTAAATAATGCATGGATCAAAGAAGAAATCAAAAGAGAAATTCAAAAGTATTTTGAACTGAATAACAATGAAAATTTCAAAATATGTGGAATGAAGCTTAAAGTGGTACTGAGAAAGAAATTTATACCATTAAACACCTATATTATATAAAAAAGAAATATCTCAAATTAATAAACTAATAAACTTCCCCCTTAAGAAACTAAAAGGAAGAAAATAACTATAAAGAAGAAAAAAAAAATCAATGAAATCCAAAGCTACTTCTTCGAGAACATGAATAAATTGGAAAACCTCTGGACTGACTGAGCAAGTAAAAAGAAAGAAGACAGAAATTACCAATATAAAGAATGAGAGTGGTGATATGACTACAGATTCTACAGATACTAAAATAATAATATAATCTTATGAAAACATTTATGCAAACAAATCCTATGACTCCAATGAAATGGACACAAACTACCAAAGCCCACTCAAGAATAAATCTGTAGCTTGAATAATCTTATATCTTTTTAAAATAAAATGAATTTTTAGTAAAAACCATTTTTTATTAAAAAAAAAAAAGACCCTCCAGGCCCAGGTGGCTTTACTGGTGAATTCTACCAAACAAAAAATTGAAAAAGAAGCAGTTCCTATTCTATGAGACCAACATTATTCTGATATCAAAATTAGACAAAGACACTACTAGAAAAGAAAATTATAGACAAATATCCTTCATGAATATAGATGGAACATTTCTTAACAAAATTTCCACAAACCTAATCAACAATATATAAAAAGAATGCTACATCATCACCAAATAGGGCTTATCCAAGGAGTGAAAGTTTTGGTTTCAAATATTCAGAAATTAATGTAATTCCTTTTATTAAAAAATTTTAAAGAAAAATCTAATCATCTCAATCAGTGCAGAAAATTCATTTGGCAAAATGCACCATCCATTCCTGATAACTCTCAGCAAACTAGAAATTGAAAGAAACCACCTCAACCTGGTAAAGGGCATCAACAAAAAATCTACAGCTAGCATCGTACTAAATGGTGAAAGACCAAGATCAGGAACAAGGCAGGGGTATACACTCTCACCACTTCTATTCAACATTGTACTGGAAATTCCAGGCTATGCAATAAGGCCAGAAAACAAAAGCCATCCAAATAGGAAATATGTAAAACTGTCTTTATTTACAGATAACATGATTATCTATGAAAACAGTCTTATGGAATTTACAAAAAAAGGTACTAAAACTGATCATTGGGTTTAGCAAGGCTGCAGAATACATGATCAATACACAAAAATCAACTCTAATTCTATATACTAAAAAAGAAAAATGGCAAATTGAAATTTAAAAGATAATGTCATGTACAATAGTATCAAAAATATGGAATACTTAGGGATAAATTTGATTAAATATTGTAACACACCCTTAAACATACAAATTATTACTAAGAAAAATGAAAGGGGACCTAAATAAATTGAGAGATATACATGAATAAGAAGATTCAGTATGATTATGATGTCAGTTCCTGAATTGATCTATAGACTCAAAGCAATCCCAGTCAACATCTGAGCAGGATTTTTTTTGTAGAATTTGACAAACTGATTCTAAATGGAAATTCAAAAGGATAACATAGGCAAAAAAAGCTTTGAAAAAGAACAAAATTGGAGGATTTATACTACCTAATTTCACTTCTTAACATAAAACTATAGCAATCAAAATAATGTGCTATTGGCACAAAAATAGACAATAGATCAATAGAGGAGAACAGTCAAGAAATAGACCCACACATGTAATCTTATCAATTGACCACAAAGTATTATCAGTTGATCTCAACTATATTTAGATAAAAGTGCAGAGGCAATTCAATAGAGAATGTATAGTCTTTTCAAGAAATGATGCTCGATCAATTAGATATTCATATACAAATTAATCATCCTCAATCCATACCTCAAAGAACAGATGAAAATTAACTCAAAATGGATTATAGATCTTACTGAAAAACCTAAAATTAGAATTCCATAAGAAAGTTCAGTAGAATATCTTTGTGACTTTGAGTTTAGCAAAGATTTCCTAGATATACCACCAAAAGCACAATTCATAAAAAATTAAAAAATTAAATATTAAGTTAATAAGGCTTCACCAAAATCAAGAACTTCACTATTTGTGAAACACTTTTAAGAGATGAAAAGATAGGCCATAAACTCAGAGAAAATATTTGTTACATCACATATCTGATAAAGCACTTAGGTTCAGAATATACGAAGAACTTAAAAGCACAATAATAAGAATACCAAAACCTAATTGAAAAATGGGCAAAAGATCTGAATAGACATTTAGCCAATGAAGACAGGCACATGGGAAATAAGCACATCTTTTAGAATAGTTAAATCTAAAAAGATTGACCGTACCAAGTATTGTCAATGATGTGGAGAGACTGGAACTCCACATTTTGCTGGTGGGAATACAAAATGGTAAACCCACTTCAGAAAACAGTTTGGCAATTTCTTAAAAAGTTAAACATACACCTGCTATATCATCGAGCCATTCATTTCCTAGGTATTTACCCAACAGAAATGAAAGCATATGTCCACATAAAGTCTTGTATATGAATGGTCAGAACAGTTTAATTTGTAATAGCCCAAACCAGGGAACAACCCAAATTTATGTCAACAGGTAAATGGATGTATAAATTGTGTTATAGTCATACAATGGAATATAACTCAGCAGTAAAAATGAATGAAATGTTAATTCATGCAACAGCATAAATAAATCTCAAAGTAATTATGTTGAGCAAAAGAAGCCAGATGAAAAAGTATATACTGTATGATTCCATTTGAATAAATTCTAGAAAACGCAAAATTATAGTGACAGGAAGCATATCAATCGTTGTCAAGAAGAAGGACTGGCAGCTAAGAGCTGTAGGAGAAAGGGATTACAAAAAGCAGGAGAAAACTTCTGTGGGTAGTGAGTATATTCATTATCTTGACTGTGGTGATGGTTTCACAGCTGTGTAGTTATGTAAAAACTTATCAAATGTACATTTTAAATATGTACACCTTGTATGAAAACTACAACACAATAAAGCTCTAAAATATATTAGACAAAATTTTAATTCTTTGGGAGAGTTTGTTCTTTAACTTTAAAAATTCATTTATATGTCTTTACAAAATGCCTATAATTTCATATATTTTTATATCAGATTCTCTTAAAACATGCTATAACCCATAGCATATTTAGGTAGCATGGAGTCTTTCATGATTTCACTGAAATTTTTTAGTTTGTCTGTCTTTGTCTTATTTCATTTTATTCTTTTCTACCTTGATAACTTATTTAAGTAATACCTACATTTTAACCTGTTATTATATATTTTTCCAGAGGCAAAAAGATAGATGATCCTATAGGAGCGAGATAGCCCTCCTACATTTACTGCTTCTGAAATTTACTGGAGTTATGCCCTGGGACACGCTAAGCCTTAGTTTTATTACAAAATGAGGTAATTTTATAAAGAATTTGACAAAAAAAAAGTTTCAGTGCGCAACAAAGAGTTGGTATGCAACGTTTTAAATTTCTGTATATTCTTTTGGACGGTCAACTGACTGAAGTGAGGCTCTTTATGACAGTGATCTTCAGTAAACTTCAGAAGGAAAGATAATAGTCAAATTATTAAGTAACCCAATATAATGGTGGTTCAGCCATTCTGAAAATAGACTTTAAAGGCTTTAGAATTTCAAAAGTTCTGTTGTTCAAACAATACAGTTTACATTATATTGCCAGACTAAGATTAAAGCAAGAATTATAAACTATTTTATAGTTTTTCCTGGAGAATTCTCAGGTTAATAGGTTCATAAATGTCATCATTTCAAGAGTGAATACCGTGAGGAAACTTTAACATATGAAATGCCCAGTAGAAAATGTCTATTTTCCTATTCAAAATAATTACTCACCACAAAGCTATTCACAAAATTTTTAACGTTTATCTCCCATGTCATTCTCCACGCATCCCATTGGAAAGACTGGCAGATACTAAAAATCAACTGAACAGAAACTTTGCAGGCTAGAAGGGATTGGCAGGAAATATTCAAAGTGATGAAAAGTTAGGACCTACAATCAAGATTACTCTACCCAGCAAGGCTATCATTTAGAGTTGAAGGACAGATAAAGAGCTTCCCAAATAAAAAGCTAAAGTTGTTCATCACCATCAAATCTGTATTGTTAAAGAAATGTTAAAGAGACTTCTTTAAGAAGAAGAAAAAAATAAATTAAAAATATGAATAATAAAATGGCAATAATTACATACCTATCAGTAATTACTTTAAATGTAAATGGATTAAATGCTCCAATCAAAAGACATAGGGTGGCTGAATAGATAAGAAAACAAGACCCATCAAGATGCTGTCTACAAGAGACCCAGTTCAGATCAAAAGACACACACAGACTGAAAATAAAGGGATGGAAAAAAACATTTTGTGAATAGGAAACAAACAAAAAATCTGGGATAGCAATACTTTTGTGAGTCTTAGCTATCATAGCATATGGGTTAATTTGTACTTTTCAATGATAGCAACTGAGTGAAATCCCAAAACGGTAAGTTGCACAAATAGTTACTTTTGGGTAAGATTGCTTTATGGTTTAATGTCATCTTCAGTACTGTGGGCAGTGAATTTTCCTTTCTAAGGAAAATTCTTTCTACTCTGCCACCTATTATATTTGATGTTTACAATATAGTTCTGCTTAAAATGGCTAACTTCTCTAGGTTTCATTATGCTCTCAACCTGGGGTTCTAACCAAGGTATTTTATTTATAGAAAAGTCTTCCTGAAGTTTCTCTATTAAAAATTTTTAAATTAAACAAGCCTGAATGGCCTTCTGTGGTTCTGGGGACAATGGCTTCTGTTCTAAATGGAACTGTTCATCCAATATTTTCGATCATCTTTGCAAAAATCATAACTGTAAGTAAAACTGATTTGCTAATATTTTTTAACAATTTTAAGCAAAGTGTAGCCTGAGAGAACAGAACCTGTAGTACTCTGATCCAGCAAGGGGAAAATTGGGACTTGTGGTGGGTCACCTTCTACTGTGAGGTCCATGATAGAAAGGTCAACTAATGTTCTCAGGGAATAAGCCAGCCTCTATTGTGAAGTGTTTGGCTGGGCCTTCTTGACTGGGCAATCAGTAAAGAAATTGCTTTGTTTTCTAATTTTGACTCCTGTGCGGTATCAGTATCCCAAAGCACTGAAGCAATAAAACAGACAAATATGACTGTTCTTCTTTCAAGTAGTCCAAACAATGGCCATTTTTTATTATCAGCCATATCAGGGAGAGGAAGTAAGGGTTTAAGATTGTTCCATGGGACCCAGGAAAGTTAATGGATTCAAGGATTTTACTAGAACCTTGTTAAGTTTTCAGTCTCCCGGATTTGCACAGCTATGCTTTGTCAACATAGCTGCGAATACATGTATAAGCACTAATTTTAGGAACAATTTCTAGTGATACGTATAAGGGTCTCATATTGCAGCCAGTGCTCTAAATAACTAAAAAACCTGAGTTATTAGAAGCTACTAGAAATAATAATTCAAATTGGTGATTTCTTTGAAAATATACTGTGAAAATAATAACAGAAAGGACTCGGGCCGGCCTAGTGGCGCGTTGGTTAAGAGCTGGCTTGAGACGCCAGAGGGCCCTGGTTCAGATCCCACATATGAGGGCCAGTGACACTGCTCTCCACAGCTAAGATGCTGAACAACAGCTCAACCTGGAGCTGGGGTGCAGTGAGTCGCTGGTGATGGCGTAGGCTGCAGCCCCTGCTGCAGTGGGTTGCCATGGGCTACCGTGTGTAGCCAGCAACCAGCTTGCGCGGAAAGCAGCCGAGGTGAGCGGCCGTCCAGAAGCGGGCGACTGATCTGCCTCGCCCGGGGAAGAGCGCAATGATGGTGCCAACTTGGGCCAGTGAAGCAGCATCCTCCACAACTAGACTAAGGAACAAAAGGACAGCAACTTGTCTGTTCCCCTTCCCCCAATTCCCCAATAAAAATCTTAAAAAAAAAAAAAGATGTTACCTTTAAAAAAAATAAAAATAAAAAAATAACAGAAAGGACTCATCTGTCTGATCTCATATTTATATAGCTTAAGTGAGAGAATTAACAGAAAATTACATTTTTATCATATTTAATGAATGTAGAGGATAGAACAATGGGACACCTTTTCCCCCAGAAATATGTATATAATCTTATTTTTATGTGAAATTCATTTTAAAAACCCTGATGAATAGACATTCTAGCTTTTTCTCTTCTATATTTTCCTCCAATCGCCTGATGAAAAAAATCTCTTCCTTTTCAGATGTTTGAAAATGATGATAAAACCATGTTAAAGCATGATGCAGATATTTATTCCATGATATTTGTCATTTTGGGTGTTATTTGCTTTGTCAGTTATTTCATTCAGGTAAGCTTTCAATGACTTAAACAGGTTTTAACATGATTACTTTTTTATGTCATACTCTATATGAGTTAAAAATAATAACTAAATATAATAACTAAAAATATTAATAAGTAAATATAGTAACTATTACAAAGAAATAGAAAAACAGTTAAGAATAAACCCAGGTTTTCTTTTTGTTTTCTAGGGATTTTTTTATGGCAAAGCAGGGGAAATTTTAACCATGAGATTAAGACACTTGGCATTTAAAGCCATGTTATATCAGGTCAGTGTTATTTGATTTTTTTTCTTGTTGTTGTCATTTTATTTCAAAGGTGCTTTTAAATATTCTAACTTTGAATTTTTCTTCAAGTCAATTTCTTGACATCATCTTTCCTTCGATCGTTTAAAAGCATGCTATTTTGTGTTCCAAGCAGTGCCTGGCGGTAGAATTCTAATAGTATATTTTTTTCTAATACAAGCAAGTGCAAAATTGTTGTGTTCGGAAGCACAACTTACAGAACACAGGATTTAGAGTTTACTCCTTGTTCCTTGCATTTTTCTTGCCAGATCTTTCTTTTAATGTATAATATACTGTAGAATCTGAATGGAACTTAAAAGGAGGGTTAAGAGCTACAACATCTTGGAGAACATGTTTTAAAAGGAAGAGTTAGCTTCTCTAGTTCTCATCCACATGCACACCTTAAGTGGTTTTCACTTCATACTTCTTACAGCAACCAATCCCTCTTCCCTGGTTGGAATAGCCCTGAATTCAGATAACATCAGTCTAGCTGGCAGGTTGGCCCTGCCACACACAGATGATCAATCAGTCACACCTGTGAAATAACTAAAACAAGGTGGATCAAGTAGTAATCTTGAGAAGTGAGTCTTGGGGGCAAATGGCAGGAATGTCGCAGTTTGGCATCTCAGATTCTTTCAAGAGGCTGAGGTGTATTGGGTTACCCTGAAAGCCAGTAATCATTGGGAGCCCTTTACCACACTTGCTGTCACCAGAATTCACTGTACAGGAACAAATAGCTTCCTGCCAGGATCTTTTCTTTTCAGAAATAGAGTTACTGTCACTCCAGCCGAGTCAAAACCAGTTTTTACATCTTGTGACTTCTTGCAGTAGTGTTCAGAGGACTTCTGAGTCACGAAACTCCTCAGCACCTATGCGCGTGGGGAACCACAATACACAAAATGCAGCAAAGCCAGTGGGAGGTTTCCTATAGCAACCTGATGCTCCCAAGCAGCTGGTGCTTGACACCCTCTACTCAAAAAAGGTCGATCAGAGACAGTTGTAGACACTCTTTAATCCAGAAAAACAAAAATCAACTGGAGCGATTATACAATGATTTAATGTCTGCATATCTTGCTCATGTTAAACTTGGTACTTTGGTTTTTTTTACTTATGAACACTTTATGTCCTTACCTCAACTTTTTGATGAAATAAGGTGGAGTTTTAATTAACCAATGCTATATTTCACACTTGACAATTTCCGCTCCATTTGTTTCTTTATGATTTATGTTTTTCCATGTTCAAGGAAAATTATTTTCAATTTCCGGGAATTTTTGGAAATGTTCCCTGAATGTCTTAATGTTTTAAACAAAAGAGTATACATTTTAACTTTTCCAAACATTACTTTGAAGTTCCTCTCTAGAGGCTCACTGCATGCTTTGGCTGGAAGAGCCTAAAGGCCACGAGCCAGTTTAACCAGTGGATCCCACTAATCCAATATCCTGATTGTTAATAGTGAAGGTTAGTCTTCCTCCCAGCATTAGCCATGGGAACACCAGGACAGTAACATTCTTGGATAAAGTAGCTTCTGCCCATAAGAGTACACCAGTCTGTAAGCCATAAATTCCGGTGGTTCAAAAAACATGCACATGCAAAGATACACGGAAACTCTATGCTGTTCAGCAGATGTTATTAAATTCCCCCATAAATTTAACTCAGCCCTTTCATCTTATTTGTGTTTTCCCTTTTTATCCTTGAGCATTCTTTCCATTTATGTTTGTTTGTTTTATAATTTGAGGAAAAGAAAAGCATAGTATATTTGGTCTTTTCTTTATAAATGTCTTCCCAATTTCACTTTTGTCTATAGTAAGGGAAGCTCCTATGTTCAGTTTTGCCTAATTCTTATTATATGGTTTTTGTCCTAAGATAAGACTTTCTAAGGCTTAGAAAGCATGCTGAGACTTGCACCGCTTTTTATAACCATTTTGAAGCCTCATGAGGTAGAAATATTTATGGAATCAGGTGTGGTCTTTTTGTAGATATAAAATTTATATTTTATTTGATTACTCGCGATCCTTCCAGTTGAAAAGAATGTTCTAATTGTTGCTGACTTCAATGGTCATAAATAATTCATTGTTCATTGTATTTCAAAGCTAAATTTATATTTATTAATGATAAATATTGACCTATAGATCTTTTAGGTTTATGAACAGATTTGAAGTTTCTTTTTGTCCATTACTCTTTAAATTAGATTGACTAGGGCTTTTGTGGAGGGGACTCTAAATCATAAGATGATCTCATTAATGGTGATCACTAAAAGATATCAAAAAGCTACTTCCAAAAGGATTTGAGGTAACACCCTCTACTCTAAAAAGATCTGGTTAGAGATAATAGGAAACACTCTTTAATCCAGAAAAACAAAAATCTACTGGAGAGATTATAAAATGATTTAATGTCTGTACATCTCACTCATGTTAAACTTGGCACTTTAGGTTATTTTAGTTTTTCTTTTTCTTTTTCATTTTTTTTTTAACACTTCATCTCTTTACCTCAACTCTGATGAAACGAGGTGGGGTTTTAATTAATACTGTATTTCATACTTGTTGACAATTTCTGCTCATACTGAAGCAGGAGAAACAGGTAACGAAACTCAACTACAATGCTTCAGCTAGATGGAGGTAGAGGAAGAAATTTGATTGAAAACCCTGGCATCTTGTTGACTAGGTTCAAACCCTGGCCTCAGCACTTGCCAGCTATGTGGCCCTGGACAAGTTATTCAATCTCTCAGTATCTCAGTTTCCTCATTTATAAAATATGGATAATCATAGTATCTACCTCATAAAGTTGTGATGATTAAATGGAAAGGTACATAGCAAGTACTTATCATAGTGTTATTTATTTCTAGTACAATTATTAGCAGGAAAAAAGTGGATTTACTAATACCAGAAAACCTGATAGCCTTACTTATAATCATTTTACCATCAAGAATAGAAAAAGCCGGCCTGCCAAGTGGCACGTTGGTTAAGAGCTGGCTTGGGATGCCAGAGGGCCCCGGTTCGGTTCCCACATATAAGGGCTACTGACACTGCCCTCCACAGCTAAGATGCTGAACAACAGCTCAACCTGGAGCTGGGCTGCTGTGAGTCACCGGCGACAGCATAGGCTGCAGCCCCTGCTGCAGTGGGTTGCCATGGGCTACAGTGTGTAGCCAGCAGCCAGCGTGTGTAGCCAGCAGCCAGTGTGAGTGGCCGGCAGCCACCGTGAGTGGCCGTCCAGAATACACAGTTGCTGACTTGAAAAGCAATTTTGGATATCTTGCTGACTGAACATGTGATAATGACTAAGACTAATTACATATTCCTATGCCTTGTGTGTTTTAGCAACTTACTATAGAATCAGGAATCTAATATTCAATAATAAATTCTCTTTCTACCTTTTAAGGTTATATTGTATCTAAAAATTGTTTGTGCATTTCATGTCATGTTGAAACATAGAAATAATTAGAAAATGTATAATATATCTTAATTTTTTTAACATGCGGTAAAAAATAGGTAGTGTATTCCAGTTCAAGAGTACTATAATATTATCACTGCAGATAATATTCACAATATGTAAGACCTGAGTGGGGTTGTGTTTCCAAAGTGACTGTGTAGCACAAATTAGATAATGATCTCTATAGGATGCCCTTTGGGTATCTAGGACCCTAAAGTCTTTGGGACACTTTCCCAATGCAGAGGTTTACAGAGTAGCGCTGTCAGGCCAGGATTATACACACCCTGGCTCCTGCATAGTCCTCCACGGGAGCTTTCTTCTAACATGACTTCATGATTAATGCACAGCCCTCTTATCTGTTATACTTTTGTTTCCTTAGTTGCAAGAAATGTGTAACCCGGGTATCAGGACCCTTGGGCTGGGTTGTAGTAAGCCCACAGTTGTTTCACTCACTAAAAATAAGTTATTTTTCAGAGACAGCCTCCATAGAGTTTTAATCCACAAGAGATATAAGTGGTTTGAGTGAGTGGGAGGAAGCATTCAATAGCTAATAAAAGGAAATCAGAATTCCTTGGGTTGAGAAGTGCTGTGTCCATTTTCTGTTGAAATTGAAATTGGTTAGAACATTATGCTTTTACTGCTTATAGTTTTGACCCTTCTCCTTCTTCTGATTGCATGCTTCTTGGCTTCAGGGGTTTTATAGCAGCCTGTCTGCCTCTTTAGCTTCTGACAATGGCCAGTGCTTGTAAAATCTAGAGGGGTACTATGAAGTGTCAGGGAAAATGTTGCCTATTTGGGTCTTAAAGAGAAGGAGATAGGCTTTTTATCATTAATCGGTTTAGGTATTTAGAAAGGTTTGAAAATATTTCTAAATTGTGTTGTTTATTACCTTATTTTTTAGTAGGATCTGCACTCTACAAATTACTTGTGGAGTAAAACTACAAATTACTTGATGATTCAAAATGACCATTTTTAACATTGATTATTATATAATATTGTAGCATAGTAATGAGTCCAAGCTGTTGGATTTAAGTTCTTCAGTTTATATCTAAGTATAGATCTTTGTGAAGTAACAAACAGAAGTAATTTGCTCCATAGTATTTATAAGAATTAAGTACCTATAAATGAGGAAGCAAGTAAATGCCTTTTGACTCACTAGAGCAACAGAGAATCTTTTTGATTACCATATGTTAATTCCCTGTTCTTCTTTAGGATATTTCCTGGTTTGATGATAAGGAAAACAGCACAGGAGCCTTGACAACGATATTAGCCACAGATATAGGACAAATTCAAGGAGTACGTATATTGCTTCTATTTTTAAATGGTGTATGTATGTGGTATGCTTGCATGCACGTAGACACATGTGTCTGTTCATATTTGTGAGCTAGACTGAGATGACCCACATCGTTAAGGAGACCAGCTAAGTCCCATGGCTAACAGGGAGATCTCAATGAAAGAGGTAAGGAAGCCTTTCAGTTCTGGATATTTTAAACTAAAACTAACTAAAAATACAGAAAATTTAGCACATGTATAGGATAACCAGTGGGTAGAGAAAAGAGCTCAGCATTAAATAGACAAGAAAAAGTAATAAAGTGAAAATACATACACACAATTTAAAGCCTCAATAAAAGAAGAAAGTTGAATTTATTCTTCCCCTAGAAAGTAAGATCTTATTTACCACAATGTCTAACAAGTTGGGTTTATCTGTACATCTGGAAATGATTCTGTGCTGGTTGTTATACAGATCAAATTAAAGAGACTGTATAATCATGACTGGACACATTATATGTAAACAAAACGTTTATGTACTATATTCAAAATTGTTGATGGAATGACCAGCATAATGTGTTTCAAAGTGATGCTTCAATATGTATTGGGAGTAGGGTAGTATGGAAGAGGTAAAGAGTAATTCATTAATTTTCTTCCAATTATTTTAATAAAATTAACCTTATATCACAAGTTGGATTTCAACTATGATTGAGCAAAGGAGTGCAAAACAAGGTTTCATACTTTTAAGTGTGATAAAGCTTTCAATCTCTTTGTTACTCTAAGAATTCTAGCAGAGTTACAGACTTCCCTTTTTTCTTATCATTCATGTGGGAGAAAAGAAAAGTCAATGATGTACCTCCGAATAACAGAAAAATCTTAAAAGTATTTTTTCTGTTTAGAAATATTGAAATGTTGATTACAGCATTGCTCCCAGAGCAACAGATGATCAGCTAAAACAGGCCTTCAAAATTGCATTTTTTTGTGGAGGCTGTTTCCAAAGGACATAGCCACTCTCCTAATTTTTGTAACTTCTGCAACACCTCTTTATTCAATATATACATCTAAGGATAGATTTATATTACCAGAAAATAGAACAAGTTGTAAACATTCACATGCTTCCATGTTGGTTTGGAAAACTAATTTTATGATGTAGGAAGAAGAAAGGGGGCATTATCTTCATCTCTTCCTGAAACTCTTTTTGATAATTTTGAAGGCAAGGCTCTAAATTTCATTAGATAGTATTTAAATTTTAAAATAGGACTGAGGGGCTCAAATTAGTGGCATAAGTGGAAAGAAAATGATAGAAATTCACTTCATAGTCAAGTAATAAGCATAGTGTTAATCTTCTATAGTACAATAGCATTATGTGAATCACAAATCTGCATTTCTTATTTGTTTGTTTGTTTTGATTATAGTTGACATTCAATGACAAAATCTGTGTTTAAAAATTCCAGGATTCACTACTTTAGGCAGAAATGTTAATAATCCCTGTAATTCCATTTGAATCCCCATTTTACAAATTTGCTGTTTTCTTCTTTGCTGGGTGAATGTTTTTCTCTTACTACCTATCAATTAGATCTTTTAAGAATTCAGTGAGATAGGCATTCTTACTAGCAACTATATTTTATATGTGAGCTATCTTCTCTTTTAGCAAGTATTTATTTTAACCAAAAGAACCAATTAGAACTAAAAAACAATTACTCTCCTTACATTCATTAGTTGTTTCTAACAAATAGTGTTGTCTCTCATTGAGAGAAATTAATGAGAATATTTGTGAGCCTGATTCCTTATAAGCATCTAACACCACTTTTTCACTTGATTCTTTCTCATTGCAATGAGCAGATGTTGGTTTCACAATAACTTCTGGGCAAGTCAGATCATTTTCATTGAATGAGAAGTAATAGCTAAAGAATAAATGGTTGGAATACTGCTGGAAGATTTTAAAGTTGCTGGATTTAAAAAGCAAAACAACCAAAGAAGGACTTCAAGAGCAAGACTCTGTCTACTAGCATGTAATTCACATAAACCCTTGCTTTGCCGTATAAAGATAGATTCATCTCTAACTTGAATGGGTATTCTTTCTATTGAAAGAAGAATTATTTACCAGTCTTATTTGTCCACTATGTCTTTTCTCACAAAGACACACTACACTAGAGATGAATCAGGAAATAATAATTCAGGGTCATATTTCCTATCATATCAATTTCATAAGACATATTTCATCTCAGTTTTTTCATCATGTAATTTCAGTTACATTTGACTTTATCAAATGTACTAGGGTGAATATTGATAAAATAGCTCCTTAATAACAATAAATATTATTTTGAAACCTTTACTAACGACCAAAAATATATGCCACTGGCCATTTTTATAAGCTGCGCTACTTTGAGTGTCATAAGAAAAACACATGAGTAAAATAAAGTCATAGGACAACATGATTTCTGAAATAGTTGATTGAATACAACCAATTTAACTGGTATTATTTCAGACCAAGGCAATGGCTTACTGCCAGTATATCTGTCGACAGACTATTTTCTGTGTACTATGTAGTTTTATTAAAGGTATAAAGCCATTGTAGATTCTTTGGGAGACCAGATTCCACAAAATTGCAAGACATTATTTCTGTGTATTTTAGCAACCCCTTTTCATCACCCAAAAGTCTTACCTCATTTTTGTCCACAAGAAAGTGTGCTGTTGATGTCACAGTGTATACTTGAGGTACCACTGATAGACACAATGTTAGTTCCAAGAATTCTTCTCATCAGAACTGTAATTATACAAGAAATCATAAATATTTCATTTAGTGATTCCAAAATCCCAATGAACTGATTAGTAGAACTGGGGTATTGTTACCTGGACAAAGGTGACCCCATTTCTTGATTGAACTTTTTGACATGAGAAATGTATACAACAGCATGGCATTACTTGTGATTCAAACGATCTTGGTAATCATCAAAATGATTTTACCATAGCATACATTGGGCATATAACTGCTGTTTTGCCTTACAATTTCAGGTTGAATTCATTTAGAGACATTATTAAGCCTACAGCAAAAGCTAATATCCAAAGCCATAGTGATTAAAAGTTATCCTTCTTGTAACAAAAAAAAACCCAATCTGAGCTGTGAACTCAAAATTTCAATGCAACTTTATCACTGCTAAGTCCTCAACCTAGTATGTGGTAAGGCAAGTCAAGAGAGTCAGCTTCCATTTTTGACAAAAATAGAAATAACAATGGTTAAGTCTATAAGTGCAAATGAACTTTACCATTCACCATACTGGTCCAATGTGTGATAAATTCCATTATTTTCCACAACATATTTGCTGACGAGTAATACAATGAATAACCACAGGCTTTAAACACCTTACATTTTCACAAACTTTGTAAATTTGTCCAACTAACCTTTTTTTTCTGCTCTACAAATATTTTCACCACCATCAATTATAATACATCTTCACAGATTCCACTTCAGCTTGTACTGACTTAGTTTTTTTTCTCAACTTCTTTGAAATTATTCTCACCTGTTACTGTTCCATGTGGACTTTTCATAGCAGCTAATTTTCAGTCACTTCAGCTCAGCATTGGCTCCTCAAAAAACCAACAGTTATCAGTCACATATGTCAGCCCATCAAGAGCTAGGGGAAACTTTAAAGTAGGTTAAAATAATCTACCTTGGTTTTTAGTTGACTATTGATGTTGCTGTCAAGGTTCTCAGCTTTCTGAGCAGCTGTTCTCACCAAAGGCTGATTGTCTCATACAAGTTCATGCTTTCTGACCACATTTCTTCTGCTGCAAGCAAACTTGATTTAATTAATTCACCATCAGTAAATGATTTCTTTGCTTAGCTAATAAATGAGCCACTAAGAAAATTATTTTAATTTCAGCCTCATTTTCACTTTGTAGTTTTATGAAGAAATTCTGCTTAGATGAGATATTTTACTTTAAATTTTTCTGAATGTCCTTTTCTGTGAATTAACAATGTTGTGAAGAGTGCTTAGTCTGGTAATGTTGATATATTTTGTATATTTTTAGTACTACACAGTGTCATGGTATAATGAACACAACACTGTGGCATCTAATTAATCCACAAAGTAATCCACAATCCACTGTTCCTTAAAATTTGCAGGACGTCCAGAGTCCTCTTTTCCCTTTCTTTCTTGTTTGTAGATGTTGGACATGCAATGGTAATTTTTTAAATGAGGATAAAATGTCAGTGCAGCCATACGTATAGCACTCAATGTGCTGTCAAATTATAACCACATCACATATTTGTAGCTCCCTGAGCAGCAATACAAAGTGAGGAGAACAGCACATAAGGTTTCTCTAGCAACTACAGTATTTCTCCATGTATAAGATGCTCCCATGTATAAGACGCACCTTAATTTGGGGGCCCGAAATTTGAAAAAAATGTATTACATAAAGTTATTGAACTCAAGTTTTGGGGTTTTTTTAAGATCTTTATTGGGGAATTGGGGGGATGGGAACAGCGCTTAAGGGGAACAGACAAGTTGCTGTCGTTTTGTTCTTCAGTCTAGTTGTGG